ATGCTGACTTGCAGGGCCGGTGCGTACTAACGCCCGAACCCTAAGACCGGGGGAAGGGATAAGCCTGATTGGATGCTCTAGGCAGTGCTTGTGACCCACGCTGTCTTAACATTTGCTTTTTCTCCCTACATTTATATGCGTTGCAAATTAAACTCAACACAATTGACTTTTTATTTCGTCCAAATTGCTTTTCTCATGTTATATAAAATTCATTATTTTTTAAGCATAATGTTAAAATTCTTCAGCTTTGTTACAAGAAAAACCTCAAGTTCACGTCAAGAGTTTTCGCAAAATATTGTTGATTTATTTAAGACGGAATGATTTATTATGACATGTCTCTAATAATTTGTATTTAGATACATAGTATTTATTTTTAATTTTTCCAGTTGAATTGTTTACCTATTTTGCATATGATCCTTTATTGTACATAAGTAGGTTACAATAAAATTTGTATTTTATATGAATATTACCTTATAAAAATTGAGATTTAGTAGAGTGGGGAGCTCCGTATCATAAATTAGTGGGTGAGGGCATGTGACCCTTACACAAACCCTGATAATGTGTTAACATAGTGTCAGGATCATATTATATATATATATATATATATATATATATATATATATATATATATATATATATATATATATATATATTATTATAAAAGATGTTTTATGACCCTGGCTATACTATCAACATTTTCTATTCTATATACATTAGAAATTAAATTAAGCACAAATGATTATTAAACGATGATAAATCTTCGCGGATTTTGACGTCATTCTAAGGTTTGTTCCTATTTTTTTCTGTTATAAACCCGTGAATTTGTTTTGCTCATACTAAGTCTCGGAAAATACTAAAAATCACTATTTTTTATCCACAATGTTGAATGTGTTAAAATTATTCAACTTTTTAATAAGAAAAATCTCAAGTTGATGTTAAAAATTGCCGGAAAACATTGTTGATTTATTTATGATGGAATGATTTATTATAATAATAATAATTTGTATTTAGATGCATAGTATATATTTTCAAATTTTCTAGTTGAGTTATTCAACTGTATTGCATATGATGTATTATTGTGCTTTATTAGGTTACAATAAAATTTGTATTTTATATGAATACTAACTTATTAAAATTGCGATGTAGTAAGGTGAGGGACCCCTTATCAAAACTCAAGGCGGGGCCCACGAGACCCTTATACCGGGCTGCTGACTTAAAAAGTCATCTTCGTTCTCAAAAGTGGACTATTCTACGGCAAGATGTACTAAGGGATAACACTGAACTTGCATGTTGCATTTGCCTGTTTGTTGTTAAAGCAAATGCAAGTCGAAAAAGCCATTTAAGAACTCATTAAAGAGCCAAGAAACAGTTAATTTAAGAATGTGATCATGCTCGAAACCGAATAGACAACTATCTCATATATATATATATATATATATATATATATATATATATATATATATATCTATTAAATCCATTACATTCACTTACGTGCTAATACCCTTGAGAAATGTTGAAACTTAACTAATGCATGGAATAATAATGCAACACAAAATGTACTTAGAACAAAATGTATTGAAACAAGAAAGTGTACACAATATTTACATATAGTCTTTTGTATATTCCTGGTAAGACCGTTCCTGGAGAATGTGTTGACTGAGTCGCAGTCGGGCAGAGTCTCTGGTTGAATCTCTTGATTCCCCCACTCTCTTCCCGGTACCAACCATATTTATATGGTCGGTACTCCACTATGCAAATTAGGTGGATCCTACCACAACAAGAAAGGTATTACTCCTCTTCTTCTCCCTCCAGCTATGGGTAAATAGGAGGACAAGCTGGGATCTATGGTCTTGGGTGGCAACTAGTCTAGGAGAAGGACGGACAAGCCTGAATTCAAAACCTGCGGATGGTCGTTTAGGGACCTTGTGGCACGTAGTGCACCTGGTCTCTGTATTGGGTCCTTCAAAAATGGTTGATTCAGAATAAAGCCTTCACCGCTATAATCAACACTATAATCAAATCATATTTGCGGATGTCTGGGCTGTCGGTTCCTAGGAACTGAGCTGCTTGACCATCATACGTCCGATACGACAGGAGAGTCCACCGTATTTGTTTATGACTTTAAAACGTTATTTTTTAGTATTACTCGTGTTTGGTTAGGCGCTCCGTTTATTAAACAGTATATTTATATACTTTTGTCTACCGGCCTGAATGTTTGAGAAATCTTATTAAAGGAAAAAATGTACAATCTCCGGCAGGATATGAATCAGAATCCTTCAGGGCAAAGGAAGATGCTGTTCAGCCCGGTACACTTGAACGAACATGGCAACGAAGAGCAACCGGTCAGCTCAGGCCAAATTTAGTGCTTTCAAGCTAAATGTTTCCCGTCATAGAACCTCTCGAAGTATTTCATATCTGCTCAGTTTCGTATCCAAACGACGACCGGCTTGAATGTTCGAGGAATCTTATACTTACACTCTCTTTAAATTCTATTTTTATTTCCGGAGTTGTTTTTTTCTGTTTTCTTTTTGAATTTGTAGGTCTGATGAATTGGATTGTATTTACGATTCCAATGGAATAAATTATGACCATGGAATATTAGTGTTTAAGCCTTTTTATTATATCCTTACTCTGTCCTGGACATTGAGTTCTGCCTGGATTCCATCCTCTTGGAATTTTTTATTCAAAAAATATACTTGTATATGTATGTATATATATATATATATATATATATATATATATATATATATATATATATTTATATATTTTGCATATGTATGTATATTTTTTACTAATATTATATATATATATATATATATATATATATATATATATATATATATATATATATATATATATATATATATGAGAATTTCTCCGATTTAACCAGTACAGAAGACAATATTTATGAATAAAATGACAATAAGAAAACTAGTAATTGCTGATGCGTTTTCGTTCAATGTGGACTTTATCAAAGCAAAAATACGAAATAAATTTAATTGAACAAGGTAATTAATAAAAACAAAAACAGTTGCTAGGAACATTCTGTTTTTGTTTTTATTAGTTACCTTGTTCAATTTCATTTCGTATTTTGCTTTGATAAAGTCCACATTGGACGAAACGCATCAGCAATTACTAGTTTTCCTATTGTCATTTTTATTCATAAATATATATATATATATATATATATATATATATATATATATATATATATATATATATATAAGATATAAAAATATTTGGAAAACTAACCTTCCTTCTACCGTATTCCATTCAAGGGAAAAAGAAATTGACATTTTTCATATAAATACTCTTACCCAGGTTCATAATTTGCCAGTAGGGATTTCCTTATTTCCTTGCATACTGCCATGATCCCCGATCTTTTGTTAAGCACCATAGTTCAGGGCATAGTATTTTGGCCAATTTTTACACTTAACATAATTTACAAATCTTATTCCCAATGTTAAATGAACGGGTTTTTCTCAACACATCCCATTTCAATATTTTTTCCTTTATTTTCCGTACATGACTACTAATTTTTATTCTGTTCCTGTACCTTACTAACTTATTTAGCATTATATTATCTCGAAAATAAATTTCAACTCCGATCTGTTCAATAACCATAAAAAAAAGCATCAGGGAAAACAATAATAATATTTCTGTCTCTACACACTTCAACCAATCATTTCATAGCATCGATGATATCAGATGCGTGCTTTTAGCGTTTTCATTCAACACCCGAGAAGAAAGATGCAGATCGGAGTTGAAATTTATTTTCAAATTAAATTCAAACATTGAGGAATTAATAGAGTGAATAATTTCCTCAGGGAGAACTCTAACCATTATTATTCCCCGAAAGAATAAGTCCCACTTCTTTGTTTATATCTCGTAACGTTGAAGAAGAACACAAGCGTGTTCGAAAATTCCGACATTAAAATCTATCTCTTCGTGCTTTAATTCAGTTAAAAGGTTAATATATAATAAATATCAATTTTATTGACAATATTGGTATCATTTTGTTGGCTTTTTATTCTTCAAATTTTATAAGGCGGCCTATTAAATCTCTCTCTCTCTCTCTCTCTCTCTCTCTCTCTCTCTCTCATGGTCGTATTCGACGTATCAGGGTCAGCAACTCAGTTCCTAGGAACCGACAGCCGGACACCAGCACATATGATTTGATTATAGTGGTGAAGGCCAACCGCACTTTTTGAAGGCCTGAATACAGAGACCTGTTTGGAGACCTGGTGCGCTAAGTGCCACACGGTCCCCAAACAACCTTTTGAATTCAGAGTTGTCCTCCTAGACCAGTTGCCATCCAAGAAGAGGATCCATACATTTCCCAAGAGTATTAGCACGTAAGTGACTAATGGATTCGACTGGAATTCGAACTCGGCTCTCCAAGCCATTAGTTCGAGCTACCTCTCTCTCTCTCTCTCTCTCTCTCTCTCTCTCTATATATATATATATATATATATATATATATATATATATAAGGCTAGTAGTGTTTAATTGAACGAAAAAATGGAAAAACAAAACTCGTATGTCACCTGTTTCACCCTTCAAAAGAACTTCTTTAGGCAAATGATATTTTTATCGATGTGGTCTTATGTACAGGGTGCTGCAAAAGTAACACTTTTTTTTTCGAACTGAGGTCGGTATAACGATGTGAAGCAGCTGACTGGCCATCATGATCATCAGACCTAACACCACCAGATTTGTGGGGTGTATTGAAAGATCTTGTTTACAGGCTCAAACCGAAAACAATTCCGAGTTAAATGTAGAAATGTGTCAAGCGGGGTTGGAGAAGTGTTGCTGATGGACTTCAGCGTTGTATTGGACTTGAGGCAATTCATTTTAAACATGTTAAATAGTTTGTTAACCATAAGAATTCATGTTCTCTTGATGTGTCAATACTTATAAATTTTCTTAAACTACTGTAATTATTTTTTGTTCAGTAAAAGTTAATAAACAAAAAAGGCGTTACTTTTGCCGCAGCCTGTAGAACGGAGGAGAAACACAAGAAAAGCTGGTTACAATTTGACATTGATAAAACCTGAAGATAATGAGATATTCATCTTTAAAATAATTGTTTTCGGCGTCCGATAGATGACTTCGACTTTATATCTCTCATGTTTTTGTTTTATCGCTATTATCTCCCATTGTAATAGCAGTAGTTAGGAAAGGATCTATCATTCTGAGCGTAAATTTAACGTGAAAGATTACGCAATTAGTGCACTTTTTCTTTTAATTAAAACTGAATTCATTAAGTCGAAATTATAGCTAGAACTATGACGGTGAACGGCTAATGCATTGAGTATAATTTTTTGTAAAACCCCCTTTTTGTATTCATATAATCTTTTACTTAAATTCCTTCATGTTTCGACTATGTATTTATTGGGAGATTTTTATCGTTTATTTTATTAAATGCCTCTTTCAGGTTTAAGTTTTTTTAAAAAATTATTTCGTATTAATTAAATCTCTTATTGCTTTTGAAGCAGTTGAATAAAAACTTTTTTTTAAAAATCAGTTATTATCTAAAAATAAAAGCAATGCTTCAATGGTCAATATATATATATATTTATATAGCGGAACAGTCTGTCTGTGGATGACAATATATATATATATATATATATATATATATATATATATATATATATATATATATATATATATATATATATATATATATATATAAAAGGCACAAACACTAATAGACCATGAAATATTATATTCTTACTCTCTCCTGGACACTGAGTTCTACCTGGATTCTATCCTCTTGAAATTTATGTATATATATATATGTATTGACCACTGATGTTATATACAGTGTAACTCGGATATAAGAGAGTTGTCGGGACCGGAGAAGAAGTCTCTTATCTCCGGGTTTCTCTTATATCCGGGTTTGGTCTATTTTATATACATTAACACAGGCTCTAATTTGGGACCGGATAAAATCTCTCTTGTATCCGGGTTCCTCTTATATCCGGGTTAAACTCTCTCTCTCTCTCTATATATATATATATATATATATATAAATATGTAACTACACTCGTCTCGGAAAACCTTCGGGTTCTTGATTTGCAAATGATCAAATCAATTTCAAAGGAAAAAATGGTTTTTAAAAGAGAAAGAGCTCGGAACATGAACGTCTGTCGAAAATAGTCGCGCAGCATACAGGTCCAAAGTCCAAAGAAAAAACCCCGATACGAGTAATCAACTAACTAAAAAAGTGCTCAATACAAAAGTAGAGCAGATCTATATATATATATATATATATATATATATATATATATATATATATATATATATATATACACAGCCAAAAATAAATAAAATCAATTATGTATATAGCAACAAATTTCTAAAATGTTTATAACAACAAGGTTTTAAAATATCTAAAGTATAATTGTTAAAATCTACAATAAAAACAATATTTTTAAAACACGTAATTATAGTTTTTAATAAGAATTTCATAAATTGAGTTACCTCCCTTACATAGCGGTATTTTTTTCGAATTTTACTGCGTTCATGCTCACACATATTTATAACTTAGATTAATTCTTTGTCTTAGAAATTCATCCCGAAATATGATTTTAGGTGAGATTGAAAGTACTTGGGAAAAAATGGATTATTATGGCTTTGAGAGGATTAAAATAAAATAAATTAAATAGATATAATATGTTTACATTATTCGACCAAGCATGCTTGAATGAAGGTATGGTGCCTATATATATATATATATATTATTATATATATATATATATATATATGGGACTGCAAAAGTAAGTATACTATAAGTATTATACCAGTATTACCATTATTATAATAGTGGTTATAGAATTCATTTGATTCATTAAAATCATTTTTAATATCTTTATTTTCATCATTTTTATTATAGTATATTGATTATAATTTTTTTTTTTTTTAATAAATAATAATAAGTTTGGACCAAACAATTTGAGCATTTCAGGTATTGATAAGTTTATTATTGATATGTTTGTTATTGATATATCTTTGTATAATCATTACAATATATTTTGCGGGCTTGTTTTGATATTCATTACTAATGTATACCTCATTTTGCAACCTCCTCTGTGTATGTGTGTGTGTATATATATATATATATATATATATATATATATATACTACTTGTATGCGTGCGTATGTGTGTTGATGGACCATCCCCAAAATAAATAAAATACGCGTTTTTGATGCCAATACGTGTTACAGATGTTTCTCATTTTACACACAGACACAGACACAGACACGCCGAAGGACAGAGACACACAAATAAATAAAGAAAAAAAATGTTTCTTCTTTGGGTTTTAAGTTAAAGAAAAAAAAAAATAAAAAAGTAGCTATCTTCTGCTTTGTGCCAGATTTAGCCAGAAAAGAAGTAATTATTTACACCATTAACCGAGGAAAAATATATTTCTCAATCACTTACACGATCAAAAATTGACGTTAGTTTCTCCCCCGCCTCCACCCCCGTGCATCACATTAGATTCTCCCATCACCACCGCGCGTCACTTTAACCCCGTCTTTTTTCTACCTCTCATTTTTCTTTCTTTCTTTCTTTCTTTCTTTCTTTCTTTCTTTCTTTCTTTCTTTCTTTCTTTATTTTTTCATAAATTTTGTGACGCTTTTGCACATGTACAAGCCTCTACTCACTCCACATACAGAGGTACTATTTTCTACCAAATAAACGTGCTGTCTGGAAAATCATGCTAATTGCACTTTTTCAATTTATAAAATAAGCAAGCTGGTTTAAATAAACGTTACCCTGGGAATTTTTTTTAATATAAGTTTACTTTCGTTAGAAACAAAAAAAAAAAAAAAAAAAAAAAAGAAAGAAAGAAAAGCGTATCGGTACTGGGTAGTTTCCTCAAAAATCAAGAGGCGACTTGAAAGAAAAGAAAATGTCGTTCGATAGAAAGATGCTGAGAATACCATGGACTGAACATGGGAGGAATGATAGTTTTAGAGAAAATAGAAACAAAACGGAAACTTAACATTAGAAAGAGACAACTGAAATTTCTAGGGCATATAATGAGGAAAGAGGGTTTGGAAAATTTAACACTCACAGGACATATTGTAGACAACCTGGCCGGAGGAAAGCAGCGCTTAACCTACCTAACGTGCTTGTGTAAATGGATGACGAACAGAGTTTAGAAGAGATAGCAAAAAAGATAAACAAATACTAAAAGCTACAAAGGACAGGAAATTGTGAAGAGTCATGATTGCCCATGCCCTGAAGGGATATGACATACAGAAAAAGAAAACATTTTGAACAAAATAACTGCGCCGCGGAGAAAATTATTTGATATATATGAAATGTCCTGTACCCAAGGCCGGATTATCGTATAGCCTAGTATAGGCTGCAACGCAGGACCCCTTAACCTTGGTTGGTCTGGTTTGTTTTGATTTATGGCATATAAAACTTAATCAGTTATTTAATGCCGACAAGATTTTTATTGCTGGTAATAATTTTTTCCTTCAAAAATTCATTGCTAGTAATAATATTTTACAAAAAGGTATTTCTGGTATTAAAACCTATTTTTACACTTTCATAGTGTTTTGACCCCAGTTTGTGCTGGGTTAACTATTTGCCCATAGCTGGGACCCTAACAGATACTATCACTCCGGGTCAGGGTGGACCTGGGAATACTAGCAATTAAGAGGTGGTTCCACGCACCTCAAAACCTCCTGGTCAGAGGCCTTGCTGTCGGATGTAGTTTATCGTCTTACCCAGGACCTTGGGTATATTGCTGGTTATAAAAAAATCGGTTTTCTTTTTTTTTTTTGCTATGGTTGTGTTAAAATATGGACTAATTTAGTCTGCAAAACATAGTAAAATAGGATATTTTTTAAAGAATATATTTATCGACAAACAAAAGATAGCTATTCTAGTTTATTTAAAGAATTTGCAAACAATTTACTTCAAGCTATGTAAGTGTGGCTAAAATAAGTAAAAAAATATTCAAGACGGTAGTTTCAGCTGAGAGGGACCCAATAATTTTATTAGCCTAGGGCCCCAAACTGTCATAATCCGGCCCTAGCCGTATTAAATAAGCATTCCGCCATGATGGTGGGAACAAATTTGATCGTGCAGCCAATTTTATTTGATGCACAAGAGATTTTACAAGCAAAAAATGCATTGAAAAGCGCTTTTTATTACTCTCTCCTTTTCCTTAAAAAGAAAGAATGAAAAGAAATTTATTTTCGATATTATTGAAACATTTACTGAAATTAAAAAATAAACAGGCGATATCAAACAAAAAAGGATCCTAAAAAATTGACAAAGATCCAACTCTTTCCACAGTATTACTGTCTTACTCTAAAAAAAGTTTAAACTGTCTTCCTATACATATATACGCAGAAACACACACATGCGTATAATTCAACGTACACACGAGGTTTTAATACTTCCACACACTTCTCATTGTCGCGACTCAACAAAGATTTCGACATCATCTCCTCCCCGCTAACCCCACAAACGACTAACTACCTCCAGTGTTTGCCTCAGAACAAAATAACGAGAGGGCAGGAGCCGACGTGAAGAAACAGTTGCAGAAAGAAAAAAAAAGATAAAAAATATTAGAAGAATATGAAGTTTTATTCCTGAGACTTTCAACTGTGCGTCTCCTTTAAGCACTGCTCACAACATATGCATCAACTCTGCTTGCAGCATTATTATTGGAAGCTCTTGAATTAAAAAGCCATCTTCTTTTTAACGTAGGCCCGGAAAACATCCATGCATACACATATATGACGTTATGTAAGCAAATAACTGCATCTGTTCAAAGCGCTAGCATTGTTCAGAATCCCTGAGATCCAGTATTTTTTTTTCTTAATCGGGCGGTCGCTGACATTTGATTACACTTACAAATAATATTCAAAAGCGTCTGTCTACGTGGTCTAAAGTGGAAAATACTGGTTGAGGTTTAAAACATTACTGTCAACAGGTAGGCATTTTAAAAACCTTTTTTTTTTCTCGGATTACTGTGGAGTAACACGTGTGTTGTGTCTGATGATACTTGTATATTGAAGTCATTACTATGTTAACTAACTCTAATATGGAGGTCTTTTTTTTTTTTTCGTAATGTGCGTAAGAAAGACGAAAAGAAACGCATGAGTGCTCATTGAATAAATTGATTGATAAAGTGTTTGCTTAGTGAGGGAAAGAGTTGAATGTATAACGCTTAGGCGAAGGTCTGGATTCTGAATACCCATTTTCAAAGCACCGTAGGCTTGGAAGACTGGCGCAACATAGTCTTCCTACCGCTATTTATTCTTATTTGTTACCCTATCTGACAAACCGTAGTAAATATCTACAAAGAATGAATGAGCGATATTTTGAAATATTTTGTCCGGACTACTGGTTATTTTTCATAAATTTACATCGAGTATAATCTTAACATTCAGTCAGTTATGTGCTATGTGTGATAAAAGCTTAGGCGATCATGTATCATTCGATACATGAATGACGAGGCAGATTTTTCCCGCAGTAGGTTGCCATTTCTTTCTGCGGTAGACCAGCTGCCATTCATTGGCTATAGAACCAGGTATGTCCTGCTATTTTACTGATGGGGTGGAGAAGAGGAGGATTCATACCTTTCCCAAGAGTATTAGCACGTAAATGAATGTAATGGATTCGAATGGAATTCGAACTCTGCTCTTCGATTTCTCAATCCGAGCAGCTATCTATTACCCCACCCTGCCTCCACCTTAACATTAGAAAACAAAAAAACAACTCTCCTCACCTCCAAAAATTATTATTATTATTATTATTTTCTTCTTCTTCTTCTTCTTCTTCTTCTTCTTCTTCTTCTTCTTCTTCTAAAGTACTATTCTGTCACACAAGGCCCATCGCTAGTGCTTTTGTGTAGGGGGCAACCATTTTTCGCACTGAAATTAGTTCATATCGTTTTGACCGTGTGTGAGCTATGGGAGGATGATTTTCTGAGGGTGGTGGGCAGTCACCTTTACCAGCCTTGGTCATGACTAGTAGTAATTCAGGAGACGACAAAACAACTTTCTAATGTACGCTGTAATTGTTTGGGTGAAGATGAAGATAAAGAGAGAAAGAAATCGACAGTGTGTATACGAATCTATTAACTTTTGATACCGCAGGAAATCGAACCTGGTTTGTGTATATCCATCATTCAGTCGGCTTCGATATGTTCATCACGTGTGTATATGTGAGCACACACGCACGCGCATTTTACGTTCACAGATGTATAGTTGTATATAGAGAAACGTATGTTTATTTTTTTTAATCTAAAATCGTTGAGGAGAAATGCTTACGACAGACGGGTACAGAAAGATCGATGGATTTAATTAAAGGTCTAATTTAAAAGATTGCTTCAGATAAATTAAATAGAAAATTTCGATGTACGTAATTAATAACGTTGTTATAATCGGTGAGTTGTTGTGCCACCTGTCAGGCCGTTCATATCTATCTATCTATCTATCTATCTATCTATCTATCTATCTATCTATCTATCTATCTATCTATCTATCTCAGTCTATTCATATCTATATCAATTTTATTCAATATTATTCTATATCTATCTATCTATATCTATCTATCTATCTATCTATTCATTTATTCTCTATATCTATCTATCTCAGTCTATTCATATCTATCTCAGTCTATTCATATCTATCTATCTCAATTTATTCATATCTATCTATCTATCTATCTATCTATCTATCTATCTCGTTTCGTTCACATTCTATCAAAATGTATCAAAAATATTTTCGTTTATTTTTGTTGTTGTTTTCATCATGCGGACCCTCTCGAAAGTTCCCCTATAATTTTTCCCCTCTTTTGCAATCCTCATTATATGGCATCTTTCGATAATCATAGTGATTCTGAAGGTTTCCTGGCATTACAATTCCAGTTCTCTCGTCTCATAATCGAAAACTGATGGCTGTCCAAATCTGTGCTCTATATTATGAGTCAACTTTATATCATGGAACATTTTAACACCCTTCTTCTTCTTCTTCTTCTTCTTCTTCTTCTTCTTCTTCTTCTTCTTCTTCTTCTTCTTCTGTACTGTGCCGTAACCCTTCAGCACGTAGGAGCGATCATGGTCCTCCACTTTTCCCTTGTAGCTTTTAATAGGCTTTGTCTTCTCTATTTCTCCCAAACACTGTTCTACCATCCATTTACTCAAGTCCATCAAGTATGTTAAGCGCTGTTTCCTTCTGTTCCTCAATCAGTCCTGCGAATACCAGATTTTCCAAACCTCGTTTCCTCATTACCAATTTAAGCTAGGACGGCTCCAAATTAAACAGTCTGCCAGAGACCTCAACTGTTCATATAAGACACAGCAGACCTTCATTTTTTATGTAAGACCTGAGAGATTATCTCTCAGTCATTCTTTTTAGATATTTTTAATCTATTTTTAAGAATGATATCTTATATATTAGGCACTGCCAAAATTGATTCGTTTTTTTTTCAGAAATGAAAGCAAAAAAACTCTACCTCATTT